GAGGACGAGGAAGAAGAGGAGGAGGAAGACGAGGTGGGGGAGGAGGAGGGACGATGACGATGAGGAGGAGGAGAGGAGGAGGAGGAGGAGGAGGAGGAGGAGGAGGAGGAGGAGGAGGAGGAGGGGGAGGAGGAGGAGGAGGAGGAGGAGGAGGAGGAGGAGGAGGAGGAGGGTCTCGTTCTTGTTTCTTTCAGTGGGTTCCCTGGCCTTCCCTCGCCCGCGCGTGTGCCTCTCGCCATGACCCCCCTCTGTCTGCCCCCCCTCGTTGACGCTCCAGGCCTTTAGGGCCCACCTCGAACCTTTCGATTCGAATCGATTCGATCTCGAGGATTTCAAGGTCGATCCGATTCGACTCCATGACTCCGGCCTCGGCTCCGATACCTCCTGGTGCAGGCCTCAACTCGGGCTGTCGTCGATTCTCGACGCCTTCTGATCTGCCTGCCGATCTCCGCCGATCCGACGTACTTCGACTGCCGATGCAATTACCCGATTCAGTTCTGGCGCGCTCCGCGCGCCAGGAGCGGCGCTGGAGGCGCCGCCGGGGGGGGTCAGCGCCTGTCCAAGAACTCCGCGCGGAACTCCGGCGGGCTGTGCACGACAGGTTCCTGCCGCGCCGACGCGGCGGCGGCGCCCCGCCGTGGGCGCGGAAGGCCGAACGCCGCGGGCGGCCCGGAGTCGTCCGATGTGGCACGACCTGGCGATCGGAAAGCCGCCAGGCGTTCCAGGTCGAGCGATCCACGCTGTGTCGGGAAGCACCGCCGGGGCCGTCACGACACGAGCCTGCCGTGTGCCGTCTTCTCGCAGTTTCTTCTCCTCCTCCGCCTCTCGACGCTGCGGCAGCAGCGCGCTCAGGCGATCACGGTGCCGTCTGGAAGGAGCTCGTCGGGCTGCTGCAGGCCCCGCCGAAGCAGTTCGCGCTGCGCGAGTCCAGGTCGGGCGCCCGCGGCCGCGGCGGCAGCGTGAGCCGTGGCTCCAGTGCAGTCGGAGCCACCCATGGGGGTCAGGAGGCTGCTTGACTGCATTAGATCGGCGGCGAGCGAGGGGGGGAAGTGAGAAGGAGAAGGCCTTCTCAGAAGGCGGCGGGACTTCTCACAAGGCCTCGCGCCGTCTGAGAAGTTTTCTGTGTCTTCGGGGAAGGCTCAGAAAACTTCTCAGAAGGCTGGGGGACTTCCGAGCCTTCTGAGAAGGCCCTTCCCTTCTCACTTCCCCCCCGCACTCGCCGCCAATTAGAGTTAAGTGCGGCATGTCCCTCGATGGGAAGAATATTCAGTTTTTTTTTTTTTTTTTTTTTTTTTTTTTTTTTTTTTTTTTTTTTTTTTTTTTTTTATATATATATTATTATTATTATTATTATTATTTTTTTTTGTTTTTTATTATTATTTCGTGCTCTTATTCTCATAGATCGAAGTAGTTTTGACTTTATTTGATATATATACATATATATATATATATATATATATATATATAAGATGCCGCCTGTAGGAGGACATAGGGGAACGAAGCATGACATAAACATAACAACTCGGAGGTCTGCGCGGATTTCTCGGATCCGCGCTGGACCCCCCTCCCTGGCGCGCGGAGCGCGCCAGGGGCGGCGCCGGAGGCGCCGCCAGGGGGCCCACAGCGCCGAACCGAGAAATCCGCGCGGACCTCAGAGTCTTTAGGTTTGTGTCGTTGCTCGTTCCCCTCGGACATGCCCGACCTAACATCAGAGGCGACGTCAGAGCAAGTCCCGACTGAATCCTCCTCCTCCTCCTCCTCCTCCTCCTCCTCCTCCTCCTAGGACATGCCCGACCTAACACTGCTCCCCGAGGCTTCCGTCCCGAGCAGTCAGAGCAGGCCGAAGCGACGCAGAGCCCGGCCGCAGAGGCCCCTCCTCGGGCCTGGGGCCCGGGCTGCGCCCCCCGCGCGGCCCCGCCGGGAGCGCTGGAGAGCCGAGGCGAGGGCTCTGCGGTGGAGGCCCCTGCCGGGAGGCACCCCGCTTGCCTCCAGGGGTGCCTATGGGCTTCTCTCGGGCTGGACGAAAGGGGGGATTGGGAAAGGGCTCTGCCGTGGAGGCCCCTGCCGGGAAGCACCCCGCTTGCCTCCAAGGGTGCCCATGGGCTTCTCTCGGGCTGGACGAAAGGGGGGATCGGGAAAGGGGGGGTTACGAACTTCGCTGCGTGCAGCTGGTTTCGGCCTCACCGAGGGGCCCCTTCCTCGATGCATAGCCGCCTCCGGCGCCGGGAGGCGCCGGGAAAATCAGCTACGTGAGCTGATTCTCAAACCCCCCCTTTGCTGTCCCCCCCTTTCGCCCGACCCGATTCTCGGGTTTCGATGGTTTTGCGGTGGGAGGCGGGACGTTCCCACGCCAAAAATCCATGGGCGTCCGGGGGTCTCAGGGTTGGGTTTCTCGTGGAAGGTTTCTTGTGGAGTGGCCTCCGCTGTACGACACATCTTCGAGGGGCACCCCGCCTGTCCTGCAGATGGCGGTCTTCTCCTGCATCCGACGTGGGCTCGGCGCCGCTTCGATGCGTAGTCGGCGTGGACTCGACGCGGATTTGACGCGGATTCGACGCGGATTCGACGCGGATTCGACGCGGACTCGACATGGGCTCGACGCAGCGACGCGGAGAGCGGCGCGATTTGACAGACAATGTTCCTTGACGCTGCGACATCAGCTGCAGTCCCGAGCATCATATCAAGCGAGGGAGCGAGGGAGACGTCGCTCGGCCAGAAAGGCCTCCCCTCCTCGGCCTCGGCACGGCCGTCCTCCCTCTCGGTCTCGCCAGGACGATCGCTAGTCGCGGCTGGAGGTTCCTGATCACGGGGCGGGCAGTCCGTGGGGCTGCCCAGGATCTCTCGTGCCATTCTGCGTGCTGATCGTGTGCTCGCATGCGTCCTTCTCCGTTCTGCGTCCGCGTTCTCACTCCGTCCTTCTGTCCCGCTCCGTCCTGCGTCTCTGTGCGGGCGGGCTGGGGCAATGGGTATGATGACGCACAGTCGAAGAAGTCCAACGACGCGCGTCCTTTAACGCCAGGCTCAAAGGCTCGAGCTGCATTGGTGCGGGCTCCCTCTGGACGGCCCAACGGCGTCTCGGCTCGGCAGGTTCCCCTGCACGCAGGCTCACTCGCTGAAATGGCGCGCGGGTGGTCCACGAGCTTGCTCGTCCTGGCCCTGGCGGCAAGGACCGCAGAGGCAGTCACCACCGAGACGACCACCGTAAGTGCATACAGCGAGTCGTGGGTCTGCGACGAGTGTTGCTGGAATATAGAGGACGACGAGCCCTTCCTGCACAACCCAGGCTACATGGACTGCATGTCGATCTACGGCCACCGCGAGTGGAAGAGCGGCCTGTGGATCCCAGAGGGCGGTGACTGCCCTACGTGCACGCCCTCCTGCGGCTGCAGGTGGTGCGGGGCGGACGAGGGGTGCGTCTCGGAGCAGTCGGCGACGGATGCGAATATCTATTTCTCGGTGCCGGCCTTCGTCGTGCTGTTCCGGGAGAGCCTCGAGGTCGTCCTGGTTTTGGTCATCATTTTGCAGTTCCTCCAGAAGAGCCAAGCGAACGGGACCATCTCGGTCGCGCAGCACACAACTTTCCGGCGTGAGGTGTATGTTGGAGCCAGCATTGGCTTCCTTGCTTGCGTTGCGTTTGGTGTGGGTATGCTTGCTCTGATCTCGTTCGCCCTCAGGGACGTCAAAGGCGAGTCTCACCTGATACTGGAAGCCGTGCTGATGATGGTCACGTCGTGCATCCTCAGCTTCATGGCAGTGAACTTCTACAAGATGATGTATGCCAAGGAAGCCCACGAAAGAAAGCTGGCTAAGATCATGGAGCAGACATTGGAAGCTAGTACCGCTGCACAGGACGAAGCTGGACAAACGAACGCTTCCTTCGCCAAGAAACACACGTTCTTCATGTTTGCATTCATGACTGGGTTGCGCGAAGGCCTGGAGTCGATCCTCTTCCTGTCCGCCATCGTGGTTGACGCGAAGGACCTGTCCTCGCTCCCGATCCCCATCATCAGCGCGATCGTCCTGGCCCGGATCGTGGGGTGGTTCTTCTTCACGGGGACGAAGAGGATGCCCGTGGCCGTCTTCATGAAGTTCTCCGCGGTGCTGCTGCTGTTCATCGCGGCCGGCTTCTTCTCCATGTCCACGCACAACCTCCAGGAGCTCGGCGTGTTCGGGACGTGGACCCCGAGGGCCGAGCGCCCGTGGCAGAACTCGCGGGTGTTCGACGCCCGGGCGTGCTGCGACGACATGGGGAACAAGTTCTGGGTGCTCATGCGGGCCATGTTCGGCTGGCAGGACCAGCCGACCCCCCTGGAGTTCCTCTCGTACGGCCTCTACTGGGTGCTCGCACTCCTCCTGGGCGGCCTGGTGCTCCGGAGGGCGAGGAGGCAGATCGAGAAAATGAAGGAGTCCTGGCGACAGGCCGACGAGCAGAAGGCCAAGGACGCCGAGATCAACGGCACGGTCCGTGAGAGCAGCGCCGCTCCAGCAGAGTCCGCCGATCCTTTTGACCTGTGAGCGAGTAATCGGTGGGGCTGGCGACTACGCGCAGGCGCCATGCGCTGCGGCAGGCTCGTGAAATGCTGCCACCGCACGCGTCGTGCCGCTCAGCCGTCCCCACTTGTCCGTGCCCGAGCTCGCAGCACGCGAAGCGATTCGGCTTCGAGTTTGCACGTCTTCGCACGCAGCCGCCACCAGCGCATGCAGCTTCACGGGATTTGCACAGCATGCTGTGAGCTCGCAGTCTAGATTTGTAAAGTCAGCTGATGGGCGCACTGCCATCGTGAGATCTGTACACGTCCCGCCAGGGATTATAGAATTCATGAGATTTGTATAGGACAGGTGCGGCCTTCGTAGGATTTGTGCACGCACTGCCAGAGAGCGCATGGTTCAGGAAATCCGTACAGGGCAGATGCGGCCTGCGTGAGATTTGTACACGCCCCACTAGGGAGCGCAGAATTCATGAAATTTGAACAGGTCAGTTACGGCCTTCGTAAGTTTTGTGCATGTCCCAGCAGGGAGAGCTGAATTCGTTTGCGCTCGGGCCTGGAAACCGTCAGAGTGCGACTGCGGGACCACGTGTCCACTGTTTGCATGTTCGGAACATGCCGCAGGTCGTCGCATCTCTATTGGGAAGGCCTTACGGCCGATGCCGCCGACCCAGAAGGACGACGACGACGACGTCGACGACGACGATGACGATGACGACGACGACCACGACGACAACGACAACGACGAGCTGATGACCGTCCCAGCCACAGGCTCGGGACATGGGGCGGATGGTGGAGGGACGAGGAGGAGGAGGAGGAGGAGGAGGAGGAGGAGGAGGAGGAGGAGGAGGAGGAGGAGGAGGAGGAGGGGGGGGGAGAAGGAGTAAGAGGGGGAGGAGAAAGATGAGGAGGCAAAAGAGGAGGAGGAGGAGGAGAAGGAGGAGAAGAACCAGTGTGAACCCAAGACTTATCAACGATATTGCAATACACCCTCCCTCTAAATTCCCTCTTCATAGGCTCCTGCACGGAGTCATTTTCACTGAGGGAAATGTCCCGTTGGAAGACAACTGTTTGAACATGTGGAAGCGCGCCAGAGAGCAATTTATGGGGTTCCAGCGCCACGAATCAACATGTCTGTTGCGTCTTGACGATCCTGAATCGTGCCAGAACAAATTTCCTGGGACAACACCGCGAATCAACGTGATTGTCGCGCCTTAACATTCCGAAGTCGTACCAGAACGCTATTTCTGGGACGTTAATCATGCGAATCCTTGACACTGCTGCGAACTCTTCACACGAGTGTGCGCGGCGCTACGGCGAGAGCAACATTTTGAAAAGGAACCGCCCTCCATTCGTGAAGCCCTTGCAAACTTTTGCGATGAGTGTGCGCGGCGCTAAGGCCAGAGCCACATTTTGAAAATGAGCCGCCTTACATTCGTGAAACTCTCGCGAACCTTTACAACGAGTATGCGCGGTGCTAAGGCAAGAGTCACCTTTTGAAAAGGAGTCGCCCTCCATGCGTGAAGCTCTTGCAGTTTTTCCAACGAATGTGCGCGGCGTTAATTCAAGAGCCACATTTTGAAAAGGACCCGCCCTCAATCCGTAACGCTCTTGCAAATTTTGAAGACGAGAGTGCGCGGCGCTAAGGCGAGAGCCACATTTTGAAAGGGAACCGCCCTCCATTTTGTGACGCTCGTGCAACTTTTGAAAATGAATGTGCGCAGTGCTGAGGTGGGAGCCACACTTTGAAAGGGAACCGCCCTCCACCCATGAAGCTGTTGCGAACTTTTGAAGCGAATGTGCGCGGCGCTGGGGCGAGAACGGCATTTTGAGATGGACCGCCCTTCGTGCGTGAAGCTCTTGCAAATTTGAAGACGAATGTGTGCGGCCCTAAGGGGAGATCCACATAAAAAGTAGACCGCCCTCCATCCTTGAAGCTGTTGCAGATTTCAAGCTTCAGGATCATACAGGCAAGGAAACCTCAGGCGAAATGCCTGGCCCGCCCTTTCCACCGGCTCCGGGGTGCGGCAGGGGGGAGTTAATTATAATGACAAGGAATGGAGGAGGAGGAGGTGGAGGAGGAGGAGGAGGAGGAGGTGGAGGAGGAGGAGGAGGAGAAGGAGGAGGAGGACCAGGGTAAACCCAAGACTCATCAACGATGTTGGAATCAACCCTCTCTCCAAGCTTCCTCCTCAGATACCCCATACAAAAGGTTCATCTCCACAGGGAACTGCCTCGTTGGGGGACACCCGTTTGAATACCCTGAAGCATGCCAAAAAAACATCATTCGCGGGATTCGAAACAAATCAACACGACTGTTGCGTCTTGACGATCAAGAATCGGGCCAGAGCACCATTCCTAGAATTTCAATGCCGCGAATCAGCGTAAGTGTTGCGACCTCACAATCCTGAGTCGTTGCAAAACACTATTTTGTGGCACGTTGACCATGTGAACCCATAAAATTATTGCAACTCTTTAAGACGAGTGTCCGCCGCGTCAGGGCGAGAGCAACATTTTTCAAAGGAGCCGCCCTCAATCCGCGATTTTTTGGTTCAAACGAATGTGCGTGGCGTCAAGGCGAGAGCCACATTTTGAAAACGTCCCGCCCTCAATCCGTGAAGTTTTCGCCTACTGTGTGCGGCGCTAAGGCGAGAGCCACATTTTGAAAAGGAGCCGCCCTCCATTCGTGATGCTCTGGCAAGCTTGAAGTGGAGTGTGCGCGGGGCTAAGGCGAGAGCCACATTTTGAAAAGTACTCGCCCTCAATCCGTGAAACGGTTGCGCATTTTTCAACCGAACGGACGCGGCGCTAAGGCGAGAGCCACATATTGGAATCGACCCGCCCTCCATCTGTGTAACTGTTGTCAACGTTTAAGCTTTCAGGCTACACATGGTGCGGCAGTCTCAGGGGAAGCGCCCGGCCCGCCCTTTCGACCAGCTTCGGGGTGCGAGAGGAAGAAGGTATGCGCGAGGAAAAAGAATGGAGGAGGATGAGGAAAATGAGGAGGAGGAAGAGGAGGAGGATGAGGACCAGTGTAAACCCAAGAATCATCAACGATGTTGGAATCAACCCTCCCTCCAATCCCCTTTTTCATTTGCCCCTACACAAGTTCATTTCCACTGAGGGAACTGCTTCGTTGGGAGACACCGTTTGAAGACCCTGAAGCATACCAAAACATTATTTCCGGGACTCCAACGCAACGAATCAACATGGCTCTTGCGTCTTGATGGTCTTTAATTGTGCCAGAATACCATTCTTGGGACTTCAACACCGCGAATCAACATAACTGTTGCGGCCCCCAAATCCTGAGTCGTTCGAGAACAAAATTCTGTGGCACGTTGATTATGGGAATCCGTGGAACTCTTGCAAACGTTTAAAAAGGATATGCGCGGCGCTTAGGCGAGAGCCACATTTTGAAATCGACTCGCCCTCAACCCGTGTAGCTCCTGCACATTTTTCAAACGAATGTGCGCGGCGCTGAAGCAAGAGCCACATTTTGAAAAGCACCCGCCCTCCATGCGTGAAGCTCTTGCGAAGTTTGAAGACGAGTGTGGGCGGCGCCAAGGCGAGAGCCACATTTTGAAAAGGAGCCGCCCTCCATTCGCCAAGCTCGTGCAAATTTTGAAAACGAATGTGCGCTGCGCTAAGGCGAAAACCACATGTTTTAAACGAATGTGCGCGGCGCTGAGGCAAGAGCCACACTTTGAAAAGGATCCGTCCTCAATCCGCGAAGCTCTTGCACATTTTGAAGACGAGTGTGCGCAGCGCTGAGGCGAGCGTTGTTTTTGAAAAGGACCCTCCCTCCATCCTTGAAATTCTTGCACATGTTTCAGGCGAGCTGGCGCGGCGCTAAGGCGAGAGTTACATTTTGGAAACGATCCGCCTTCTGTGGAGCTGTTGCAAAATGGGGGCGCTACGCTGAACAAATAGGTGAAACGGTTGGCACTGTTTAAGCTTCAAAGTCATCAGAGGTGAGGAAGTCTCAGGCGAAACGCCAGGCCCGCCCTTTCGATCGGCCTCGGGGCGCGACATGGGGGAGTTATTCAGAAGGAAGAGGAGTGGAGGACGAGGAGGAGGAGGAGGTGGAGGAGGGCGAGGACCAGTGTAAACCCAAGGCTCATCAACGATTGTCGAATAAACCGTCGTTCCAAGCTCCCTTTTCATAGGCCCCTACAGCGGTTCTTTTCGCGGGGGGAGCTGCCTGCATCGTTGGAAGACATCCGTCCGAAGACCCTGAAGCATGCCAAAACATGGTTCTCGGGACTCCAGCGCCGCGGTGCAACCTGACTCTTGCGTCTTGACGATCCTGAATCGCGCCAGGACGCCATTCTTGGGAGTTAGCACCGCGAATCAACGTTGCTGTTGCGCAATGGTACCCAATACTTTTCCCAAATACCATTCCTGGTACGCTGATCATGGGAACCCGTGAGACTCTTGCAGCTGTTTAAACGAATGTGCGCGGCGCTAAGACGAGACCCATGTTTTGAAAAGGAACCGCCCTCAATCCGTGAAGCACTCACAAGTCGTTACAGCGAAATTGCGCGGCGCTCAGGTGAGAGTCGCGTTTTGAAAAAAGGCTCGCCCTCAATCCGTGAAGCTCCTGCAGATATTTACAACCGAATATGCGCAGCGGTAAGGCGAGAGTTACACGTTGAAAATGACTCGGCCTCAATCCGTGAAGCTCTTGCAATTTTTGAAGACGAATGTGCGCGCCGCTGAGGCGAGAATTGCATTTTGGAAACAACCCGCCCTCCATCTGTGAAGCTGTTGCCAATTTTTATGCTTCAGGGTCGTCCGTGGTGAGGAGATCTCAGGCGAAACGCTCAGCCCGCCCTGAGAAATGGCCTCGGGGTGTGACAGTGAGAAGTTAAGTATAAGGAAAAGGAGTGGAGGAGGAGGAGGAGCAGGAGGAGGAGGAGGAGGAGGAGGAGGAAGAGGGGGAGAATGAGGACGATGACGAGGAGGACGAGGAGGAGGACGAGGAAGGCGAGGAGGAGGAGGAGGAGGAGGAGGACGAGGAGGAGGAGG